TATTAAAACCATACACAACAGCTATATTTAGTAATCAGCCACAGTAATAAAGATATCCTGACTTACTGTGAGAGTCACACTGATCATGACTCATTGATACGTCTTCTCTGCATTTATTAAGATTTCTTCTCTGAAATTAAGTAACAAGGGCCCCAATACTTACCCTTCACAGTGATAACATACTGCTCTTCACTGAATTTGCCAATGATGGATTTCTAATTCATTCCCTGATATGACTGTGTCAGAAATGCAATACACCTTGAAATAGTAATTTCTTTGTATAGCATTTTTCATACAGGCTATATTCTGAAATATTTTAAGAGTTACCTAATCCATTTGCAAGCACAAGAGGGAAAAAATAAAGCAGAAGAAAAAGGAGTGAGACGAACAGATATGGACCCTGGAGACAATCACCCTGAAAACAGATGATGAGTCAACTAAGTGAACAGATGTGAGACGGTTAGTCTGGAGCTACAGAAGAAGACACCACTTCACTGACGTCACAGATGTAGGGTGAAGAGGCTCAAAGAAGGCCAGTACAATCAAAGCAGGATGATTATAGCAAAGTAAAGACTCAAGATCTTTTAGATGGGCTGCATCAGGTCAAGAATAAGCTTTACGCTTAAGAAAAGCAACTTTTAACTCAGATCCTAAGTAAGCTTTATATTTATTTGAATAGAACCACATAGAACTATTTTCAGAAACTGATCGCCTACAATGTGACGTATGGACACACATACATAATTTATCCGTTTGGTTACTAAAGATATAAATATACCAAAAGGGAGGTACTGACTTTATAAAGTACAAATCTTAATAAAAATTTAGCATTTTCTAATCTTTCATCTCTTACTAGCCTCTGATAATTCTGCTTGCTAAGGACAGCCAATTCCTGGCTCACTATTACTTTTCATATGATCTTACACTGAAATTACTGCATATGCTACTGCTAGAACAATTTCCAACTTTCATTATAATCTCCCTTTTGAGTCTCTCAGATAAGCACCTTTTCAGATGAAAACTCCCATTTTTACCCTAAATCCAGCAACAATTTTTGCAATAGTGGAACAGGCAAGCTCAGCTGCACTCAAAACAATCTTTAAAGATTGTTTAACGTAATAACATACTTTTTCCAAATAATTTGACTTAAGAATGGGAAAAAATGAATAAAATAACTTTCTTCTTATGTGGTTTATTCTGTAGGTTAAAACGAGATTCAAGGAAGTTCCAATTCATTAATGCATTTCAAAGAATACCTGCTTAATGATTTGTAAGCCGTGGCTAGTCTGAAGGGCTTGCTTTCAGCATGATTTAGGTCGAGCCACAGAACAGCAAGGGTCACGTTTCAGCACTTTGGATTTGGAGCTATTTAATGCCTGAATTTCCAGTCCTATCAAAACTCTGAAGCCTGAATTCAGAGTTTAACCCACCTAAGCTTTGGGTCAGCCTCATTCTGAAGGCAGGTTTCACAAGGGAGGTGCGTATGTGCTGGCCAGTCAGCCCAGCGACAGATAGACAGCAGCTCAGACATAGCAAGAGAGGGTATACTGAGGGCACACTGATTCCAGTAGGCTGAGGTATCTGGCTTTACACACAGTAAAGAAACAACCCAGAAAAAACAATAAAAACATAATGATTCTGAATAATTCCAAGAACAAGTCTAAGTGTGTTTTTAAAGTCTGTACTACACAAAAATGTTTTAACTGTAACTTTCTCAGGGCATGTTTAAAAGCTGAATACAAACTCATCCCAACCTGATGATACACAGCCTGATACACAGTTTCAGTGGCACACAAGACCTATGGGAAGACATTGCAGTGAAAATGAGACCAGAACTGCCCAGGACATGTATCGATGAGGGACATCTGCTAGCCTGAGAGTACTCTGTGGGCTTGTAAATGAAATTTGGGTCTGTTCCCTTGGGCAAAAATAGCAACTTACAGCAGGTGAAAATTTTGATAGGAATTCCTAAGAATCATCCCAACCCACCACTTTGCAATGCAGTCTAACTTACATATTTATCTGGCACCTTCAGTGAACAGAGCACAAGTTGCTGATGTAAACCACTCACTTGATAATTTTTCCCTTCTCTCTAAATTAAGATGATGCACTATAGCTCACCTGTAACTTCTGGGTCAGAGAATCCCTCTGTGCCTGGAGCTCTCTGGCATTGTCGATTTCTTGTTTCAATCCTTCTATTTCCTAAGGGAGAAGAAACAACCTTGCTAGCAACACATTACCTGGCTTGGCCTCAGTGCAGGTAAGCTGGCTACCACTTCTCCTGAGCAAGCCATTGCAATGATACCAAAACTGGCAGTTGGCTACTGCCCATCACAGCACATGAAGTTTAAGCCCTGCTCTTAATACTCCTGGATCACAGTCCTAAAACAGCAATTCCAGTGTGAATAAACAACAATAGAGATAAGCATTTTCTTTTATAGAAGTCCAAGTTTTCCTCTCCCAGGCAAAAGATCTGAAATCAAGGGTTCTTGTAATTAGAGAAACTATTTTATACTTGAAATTCTATTTGAATCTATCCTTCTCCATTTTTTCAAGAGAAAAATCCAATTTTCATCTGTGAGCTGCTTATTATGTTACTAGCAGCAGGACTGAGCATAAAAAAATTCCCTGCTTTGACCATTGATTTCTGTAAAAAGAGAGTCTAAAAGAAATAGTATCTTTAATTTAGCAAGAAGAAAGTAATAAGGTATAAAAACAACAAATATAGATAAAATAATGAATGGAAGAGAAACATTTTCTTAGCTTACTTTCAGGAGACAAGAACAGAAACAGTTAATGAAACTCAAAGGTATTGAACTTAGAACTATTAAGTACTTTTCCCCAGAAGGGCATATTCACCTCCCAGAACTCCTTTTGGAAAGATCTCTTGGCAGCCAATAGCTCAGCATAATTCAAAAGTGAATGGGCACCAAAATGGGAAACATTACCAACCTGAGGCTAACCTCTTAAGTATGAGGGAGTTTGGAAAAGGCTTTGTTGCATTTTGGGAGGATATTCTGTAACTGTTGTGCCTCTCCTGCATCCTCCTTGGAAACACCTAACAACTGCCCTGCTGGAGGCAAGACCCTGCAAGACACACGTGCCCTACGAACACGTGCACCCATGCCCGCTGCGTCTGTCGTGGAGGGCTCAGGATCTGGTCTTACACAGGGCAAATAATCCTTCATATACGGCTCCTTCCACCTCCTTTTTCCCATCCATAACGGGGCGATTCTCGATCATCCTGTGACACAAATCTGCTTTCTTCTAGGACCTGTGCCAGTGCAGGTGTTACTCCAATTCCTTTTATTTTCTTGCTGCTCGTCCAGCCCAAGGCAGATGGCACAATAAATAATATCATCAAGTTTCAGGCCGGGGGTTTGGCAAGTGTTTAAGGAAAATGCTGATCTTAGGGATCATAAATGTCAGCTATATTAACATAGCCTGATAAACAGATTGGCCCAAAAAAGGCATTGATCTATTACTTGTCCCAAACCCTACTCTCCAGAAAAAGGAAATAATGCGTACGACAGCTTCCCTTCTTAGTGAATTTGGACTGCATCAGTGTGATGACTGCTCTGTGGAAACCACTTATGACTTACTTCTGCAAACAGAGAGGCTTGGTAAAAGCAAACAGGATAAAAGCAACATGATACTTTTTTTGGTTGTTCAGATACCCAGCTCTATATTGGACTGATGTAATTGTATACAAGGAAAAATATTAACCATTTCAAAGAAACCGAAAAAAAATTTACTTCGTAATATCTATAGGAAATAATACAGAATTTACCAGCCATCACAAACTTAATATTGAAAGCCTTTAGAAATGACATAACAGAAAAGTCAAGAATAAATGTTAGCAAATACCTCTTCTTTTTTCTTCAGCGTAGACTCCAACTCCTGTATTGTCTGGTTTAATTCTGTTTTATGTGTGTGGACTGCATTGGCTTGACTGCTCACACACTCTAGCTCAGTCACCTGTTGAAATAAGTAGAAACAACACATGCAGAATTAATTTCAACAAATTCAAGGTACTATTACTTCTTCGCATAGATAGGTGCATTTGAAATACACCTTTAGTACAGGGTGACTTCTGTTGATTAAAATGGTGAAGGTGTTCTTATGAAGTTAGCATAAAATTCCTTAACAAATTGCTTAGCATAAAATGGTTGCTATGACTTCCTGGAAACAATAAATTTAATAAGTTGCAGGCTGAAAAGAACATTAATTAAAACTTACACTTACTAATTATTGAAAATTTTATGAAAGAAGCTGAATTATCATTTCAGAAACAGTAATGGTTAGACAATTAAACACAGAGCTGTCTGTCTAACTAACCTCTCCATCTGACAATTTTTAATGTTGTATCATCTTAATCAACTAAGCCACAATGCTCACCCACTTCCTAGCAAGCCAATTAACATTTTGCAGCCTCAATTTCTGACTCGGCATCAACAGTGTAATAGCAGACACTCAGCCACCAAGGTACAGCTGCCAACTTCTTACTTCCTCTAGTTTCAGATCTCATCTCTCAGTCACAAAGCCAACAGCTAATGGCACAATTTGGATTTGCACAGTTCCTCTTTATTAGCAGACAGCGAACGCTCTCCATCTGCCCTCGGATAAGTTAAGATACCTGGCAGTGGTACGTCCTTTTTATTTTATTTTTTAATCGAAGAGATGTTAATGTCCTGCCATTCACAGATAAACAGTTGTCAAAAAACAGCTTCTGCACGGAAAAGTCTTTGTTGATGTACCTCTCAAATTACAGATCAAAATATTAAGAGAACTCGCACACTGCGAGTCCGTGTGGATGTGTGCTCTAAAACCTTTTTGTTTAATAACAAACTTAAAATATTTAAAATTCTATTTAAAACCTAATAACTCATTTTTTTCCAGAAGATATAAGCCTGTCAATCTTCATATACAGTCTTCAACAGAGCTGCATCATCTACCTACAGTAACTAGCAAATCTGGCCCAAAAACTCCTTTGAACAAAGTGCTACCCAATTCTGCAATGAAAACCTTTCGGTCTCCATTTAACTTTCTTGGAGAAGTAGCCCTGAGACAGCGGGCATGCATTCTCCAGGGCAATTTTATTTCTTAGGTGAAAGAACATCTCGAGGAATCCAGGTTGGTGCCCTTCCGCACCAATGTAGTCTCACTAGTGAAGTCACTGTGATGCCAGTAATTTCAGACTCTCAGATATTTGTAGGCTCACAAGGTAGATTACTTAGTGCAGAGAAAAGTCAAAGGAAAGCCAAGATGAAATACAAGAAAATTAAAACAAAATCCTTATCAGCTTCTCCTTTCTGAGTCACAGGGCATGAACTTCCCCTTTGTAACAGCCATGACGAGTCTAGTTCCTTCTACTGGAAAACTGTGATTAGACATTTTTGAACATAAGGTTTATAAATGGAGAGAACTGAGATTACAGCAAATTCCTGGAAGGGTAAGGGGAATGAGGGTTGAGGATATGGCTTGGTAACACAACACCCCACCCCCCACCCCAAAGAACTATCTTATTTGCTGGAATTGGCCCAAAAGAAATATCAGTGCTCATGGTAAAAAGTAATAGCAGTTTGCTCAGTTTTATATGCCACTGAGCATTACAACTGAAGTCTTAGATAATTTTCTGAATTTGCTTCAATTACACAGTAACATATTTATTTAGACTCCTTATGACTGCTACCAATTGTGACTGTTACAGTATTCACCTCTACAATTACACAAACACAAACAAGTGGAATTGGAACACACCGACTGGGATACACCTATGTCTACACAGTGTCTGAACTAACATCTAGATACAGCAAGAATCACAGAATAATTTAAACTGGAAGGGGACCCTGGTGGTCATCTGGCCAAGGCCTCCTGCTCAAAATAGGGCCAATTTTGAGGTCACATTTGGTTGCTCAGGGTCTTTCCCAGTCAAGAACCCTTCACCATCTAGTAGAGCTGCCACAGTTTTACACGGGTTCCTATATTTCTGATACTGCAGGTTTATGCAGAGCTCTAGTTCATTCCTAAGTTTTGCTGGAACTGTCAGACTCACCCACCTCACCCACCTTCACCCCTTCTGATGTTTAACTTCTTAAACATTTCCAAGCTTTTCTGCTGAACTGAGTCTTGAATTGGAGGTGGAAGCCTCTGTGAACCCAGGGCTAGGGTTGTTAGGGGAACCCAGGGACAGGCCCTCTCCCACCCACTGTGAAACACTGGAACATTGTATGGTAACCTCCAAGGTGGTCAATCTCTCTTTTAAAGCTGTTGCACTCAGCAATACCCACTGGCTCTTACCAAGCACTGGCACAGTGAATACTCATTTATACAAAGTGTAAGAGCCTCAACTGAAGAGACAGAAGAAAATCCAGTCCCCAGACCGCCTCTGTCCTATTGCCTTGGAAGCAAGTATGCAGAGGTGTCTCAGCCTGTGACTACGGAAGCACTTGGACCCCCACTGTTCTCCCCATGGTTTCCTCTGGACTGGTACACACAGAGAGGATGCATGTGTTGGTGCAAGCTTGGAATCCAAGGGGGCCAATGGGTTGAACTGCAGTGGATGAAATGTTACTGCCTTCGGCTGCGTGTATTGTGGCTGGCTGAAAATACCTTCTTCAACAGCCCTACCAGCTGCATGGCTCATGTGAGCACTCCTCAGTACACTCTGGTCCATACTAACTCCAGACACCTATTGAAATTGCTTAAGCAAACACAGCTAATTTTGCTTGAGCAGAGCAGGGAGTCCTCTCACAAACCTTCTTGCCAAGAGAGGCAACTGCTGTTAGAAGGGCAATTAATTACCAGCACTAAAAGGGCTGTGATGTCTTACTCTGGTCCAGGTTTTCTCTGGGCAAATGTCCACCTCTTACTGCTTATGCAAGAAAATAATGCGTTGTTCAACTGTTTTGTTTACTGTTCGTTGAAAATTCAGTAAGTTGGAAAAAAAGAACAAATTCAATTAAAAAACAGGGATACTTTAATTGCAGTCTTATTTAAACGCCCATCCCTACAAAGATCTGAAAAGATGTCAAATATCTTCATGATGTTATCTTCTTGAATGTACCTATAAAAAAGAAAATCATATTGTGACCCTTTCAAAAAAATCTGTACAGTAAGATGGGCTGGAAAATGATGTGATATAAAGAATATGCAATTGAAAACAGAAGTAACAAAAGATAAAGCTCTAGGCAAAAATCTGGATAGCATTTACTTGCTCTATTTCCTTGTTTCAAATTGAATTTATTTTTCTCATGACCAGTGGTCCAAAAATCATTAAAAATAACTGTTTATGCATTATTCACAGAATGGGGCATAAAAGGAAGCTTTAGTCTGACACTCCCACATGCTATTTTCAGGGACATCTCCTCAGTCAGTGTTTCATGTTTAAGAGTAAGGCTCAATCAATCATTCAAGCCTTTGCACAGCAACATTGAGCAATGTACCTGTGATTAAGTGTTTTTTCCAGTACAGAATTCGGACTGAAAGAACAGTCTTTGAACAATAACTGATTAAACAAAGTTCTTCTATTGTGCAATCATAAGACTGCACTGACTTGCATATCTGAAAAAAGTCAAGATTGTGGCTTCATATTTGAGACTGAAAAAGTATTGTTCTTAGCCTCTGCTTCTTTATTTTGCATTTATCATCCAGGTAAGGATTGCACGTTGGGAAAAAAATTCTGAATGGGCTTTTTAGTGACTATTTAACGAGTTAACTCTTCTAGTATATGGCTGGCATTATACTTAACTGTGTACTTCAGTGAGAAATACATCAGCTGAAATAAGACAGCAAGGCAACTTGTTCTGGCAGAACCTAGACCTTCTCAGCCGAGGCCATTCTAGAGTTTTCTGGAAATTTTAATCTAGGGTCAACAGTCTACAAATAGAGGAGGATGTCAGGCAGAAGTTTTCATTGCAGCAGACAGCTAGCACACACTGGGCTGTTGGGAAGACTGGAGGAGTGAGGCTTTTGGCCACGTAACACAACAAAGAGTAACAGCCTTGATGTGAGCTTAAGGCAGTGACTGCCCAAAGCTTCAGAAGACTGAAGAATCTCTCAAAGAAAACAAACCAAATCAAATCACAAAGAAACCAAGAGAGGAGATTGTATCAAATTCCAACACAGACAACAACTTTACAAGTAAAGACGTCAGTTAGACAGAGGCAAAGAAATGACAGAAATATTTCGAGTGGTCACCTTCCACAAGCAATTCTTGACTGAATGGATCTGCTCTACGTTTGCTGCAGGTTGATTCATTTTTTCAAACCACTTTCTTGAGATAAATTGGTACACTGTTGATGTCAAACAACAATAGCTTTTATTCAGCATCTTAAATTCAGTACCAACAGATCATGAAATTCCTTCTAAACTTCATAGAGAAATTACTTCAACTGCTACAGAAATGCAAAGAAAGACAGTTCAGAACAAATTTTCAGTGTAGCTGTAGCCTATTTTATATACCTGACACTATTAACCTGTTGTTTCCTAAAGGTATTTTTATCCCTTCTATTTACTGTGGAATGCAACATCCAAGGTCTACTAGCCCAGGCTACAGTGTGGAACAGGCACAGTGCTCCCATGCAACACTGAATTTAAGTATTAATTATGTATTTTTAGCTGGTTGAGTTACACCCCTAAATGGATCATAACTGTGACTGTGACAATATTATTCCATCAATAATTCAAGATGAACGTCCTACAAAGAGAAAAGAGTCCTTTGCTTTCCACAGGGAGAAGAGAAATGATGTTGTGTGGCTCAGCAAAGCTAGGAAGAACTGCACAGAGTTTCACATATTTTATGCAGAAGAAGCTTCTAAGTTCTTCATGGGGGACAGTAAGATGCAAGACAGCATGCAACAAGCCCATCATAAAAATAATTCTAGTATAGCTTTCAAGAATAAAAAACTCTGGAAAGATTTTTGGTGCTAAGAAATGTGAAAATGCAGAAAACAAGGAAAATTGCTTTTCAAGGTTGC